CTATCTCCACCGGCGAGCTTGAGCCCTAGAAGATCCGTCCAAAATGAATCTCCCAATTTCTCCGTTTCTGCCACTGCCGCGACGGAGCAGCAGCATTCACCGCCGCTTTCCCACGGAGGTGCGGAATCGGACGACAGCGGCCAATCCCATTGCCCATCTCCTCTGCGTTTATCGACGGAGAAAGTTCCGGAGAAGAGCTCCGCGGCTTCTTCATCGCGAAACTCCAATGTTTCTGTTCACAGTGCGATTTTCCCAATTTCAACAATCAATAAAAATTTAGATAATCTTCCAGTTTCTGCTCACAACGATCGCGAAGAATCTCCAAGACAATCCCGTAATTCAGATCCAGAAGAGCAGTTCCCTTCTTCTCCTTGCTTATCTCCGCTCTCAGATGGAATTTTAGGGCAAATTCAGATTCAATTACCCAAAGTTTCAAACATTCCCGATTCGGATTCCGATGCAAAACTTAAGCAATTTTCTTACTCATTTACTTCATCTTCAGCTTCGTCATCGCCGGAGAGAGTAGTCTTGGACTCGTCTCCGTCAAGAGCATCCAATATTTCAGATCAAAACAGGTCACCTCCATTATCACCGGAGAGAATTTTGCTGAGTGATTCAGATACATCGAAGAGAACCTCCGGCCATTTTGATCAAAGAAACCTGCAGCCCCCTTCAGGTTCATCCGCCCCTCCTCCGCCACCGCCTCCTCCGCCGCCGCCACCACTGGCACCCCCTCTGCCAGTCCGGTGGGAAATCCCCATTTCTCCTTCAACACCAATGGACCAATCAATTTCAAGGGCGCCTCCTCCATTAGTGCCACCTTTAAGGCCGTTTATAATGGAGAATGTGAAAAATGTCTCACCCATTCAGTTGCCATCCTGCAAAAGCAATAGTGAAGCATCTGGAGACACCCCCAAGCCCAAATTGAAGCCATTGCATTGGGACAAAGTAAGGGCCAGCTCTGATCGTGAGATGGTGTGGGATCAACTCAGATCAAGCTCTTTTAAGTAAGCCAATTTTCACAGCTTTTTTTTTCTTTTATTGATTTCCTTTGGTTTGTTAGATGAATAGTTTCTTAATCCTCTCGGTTTCGTTGCAGAGTGAACGAGGAAATGATTGAAACTCTTTTCATTGTGAACACTTCCAACTCGAAGGAGACTACACCTCGCCCTGTGCTTCCTATACCTAACCAAGAGATTGGAGTTCTTGATCCCAAAAAGTCACAGAACATTGCAATCGCACTACGAGCGCTGAATGTGACTCTAGAAGAAGTTTGCGATGCCCTTTTAGAAGGTATGGTATAGATTTCTTGGCTCCATGCTAAAGGTTTTCTTGCTTTGCTTATGGGCAATATCTTTATTTTGCTTTCGAAAAAATCCATGCTGGTTTTTCATATTCGATGTTTTGGGCATGGCTTCTTCTTGATTATGCTATGAGTAAGCTGCATCTTCGCTCTGTATATCGTCCACATCATTTAGAAAATCGAACTTGGTTATTGAATTTGAAGAGTTCACTTTTCTTCCTCCTTTGTTGTGAAGATAAAAGTCAAGTTTTAGTAATGAACAAGTCAACTCTTGATTTGTGAAGATCTTTTTGGGGCATCCCATGTTTACATTATCAATATATCGAATCTTGGGTTCGACAAAATATCCGTATTCTTCCCCGTCCCAACTGGAAATGAGGATGACAACTTGAGTGATATGGATGCTGCAGGTAATGCAGATGCACTTGGAACAGAGCTACTTGAAAGTTTATTGAAGATGGCACCAACAAAAGAAGAAGAACGTAAACTTAAGGAATGCAAAGATGTTTCGCCTACCAAGCTTGGCCCTGCTGAGAAATTTTTAAAGGCAGTCCTTGATGTTCCCTTTGCATTTAAAAGGGTGGATGCGATGCTATATGTGGCAAATTTCGAGTCCGAGACCGAGTACCTAAAGAAGTCGTTTGAAAATCTGGAGGTACGTAAAATATTATCATTGAAAGTGCGACGGTCGCTCCTATATGACTGATGGATACATAGTTAAAAACCTCTTCTGCATCTAATAGTTATAAAAGGCGACCTGCCTGCGAAATAATTTGGTGCCCTTCCACATTCTAGTTTTAGATTTCGACATGTGTTTTCTCATTGCAGACTGCCTGTGAAGAATTGAGGAACAGCAGAATGTTCTTGAAACTTTTGGAAGCTGTTCTCAAGACCGGGAATCGCATGAACGTTGGCACTAACCGTGGGGATGCCCATGCCTTCAAACTTGACACACTTCTGAAGCTTGTCGATGTCAAGGGTGCAGATGGAAAGACCACTCTTCTGCATTTTGTCGTACAAGAAATCATAAGAAGTGAAGGGGCTCGTCTTTGTGGCACGAGTCAAACTCCAAACTCCAACCTCAGCGACGATGTCAAATGCAGGAAACTCGGCCTGCAAGTTGTTTCTGGTCTCAGCTCGGAGCTTGCCAACGTAAAGAAGGCAGCTTCAATGGATTCCGACGTGCTCAGCGGCGAGGTCCTCAAGCTCTCGAGAGGACTCAACAACATTAGGGAGGCTCTGCGTTTAAACGAAGCAGCCGGGCCAAACGAAAGCACAGAAAAGTTCTCAGAGTCAATGGGCAGATTCTTGAAAATGGCAGAGGAGGAGATCATAAGAATCCAAGCCCATGAAAGTGTTGCTTTATCTCTAGTAAAGGAGATCACAGAGTACTTCCATGGCAACTCTGCAAAAGAAGAAGCTCACCCATTCAGAATTTTCATGGTGGTGCGAGATTTTCTGACAACCCTGGATGGAGTCTGCAAGGAAGTCGGGATGATAAACGAGCGGACGATCGTAAGTTCCGCCCATAAATTTCCAGTTCCAGTGAATCCAACATTACCACAAGCATTCCAAGCTCATCATAGAGTGCAGAAATACAACTCATCTGATGAAGAAAGTGAAGAATAATAGGCATAGGAGCTTGTGGTGGGGGTAAAATATGATGATCAGGTAGCTTTTTTTTTTTTTGGTTTTAGCTGTGTTTTGCTTCTAGAAATTGTGTGGAAGTTGCTGGTTTGAAGAGGGAGAGTAAATTCCACTTGCTCCTCAATTTCTACTTGTGTAAATGCCATGTAAAAGATTTTGAATTGAGTTTATATAAAGAAATGATATGATACCAAGTGAAATGAAGTTCCCCATGCTTCTTCTCTCAATGAATCCTCTTCTTTCTTTCTTTCTTCCCTTGCACATCATCTCCCTCTACAGCTAAAAAGTGTAAAAATGGAAACTTCTAATTGGCAAAGTTTCGAAATTCTTTAACCGACCAAGTTGGCTGAGCTATGTTTACGTTGATTTCAATTTTATGCCATTTAAGTAGAAACCTAAACATTTTATTAAAATTTTGTTCTTTTCTTTTTACTACAGTACGTGGAGATTAGGATTCGAACCCATGATCTACTGGTTGGGGATAGGTCTTTAATTAGTTAAATTACGTTCAGATTAACATGAAAATTTTGTTATTAAGGTGTGATATTGGCACCAAACTTTTTGAGTTTTTTAGAATTCAGAAATATGGGTTATTTCCTACCTATCAATATCCATTTGAGCATAATTCAATTAGTCATTGACTAAAAGGTTGGAGATTCGAATTCCTGCCCGGACGTTCTCCCTCCTGAAAGAGTATGTTGGGATTGGACTCATCGCCCATAGTGGGTTAAATTAGGCACTAGTTTACTAGTACTCCCAAAACCCAAACCATTTCATATTGTCTTATAATTATTTGGTAAATAGAAAGATTTATCATTAGCCATTGAAGGGTAGGAGACACAAGAAAGTGATGTGACCTGCCATTAAAATTAAAATGATTCAAAACCTTCAACTGAATTTTGAAAAATCAAAAAGTTGATGAGATGGGAATGTGGAAAATTTTCTTAATCCAATTTCAAACCAACTCCATTTTCTACCCACTTGGAAGTCAATTTCCAATTGAAGTTTCCTCCTTTCTAGGCAAGTCCTCCCCCCTTTAGATTTGTATCTCTAATACAAACAAGGTATTTTTGCTACCTGTCAATAATTTTCTTTCTTATTTCCATTTTTGCCCCTACTTATATACTCGATACCGTTATACCAGTTATAGCCCATATTTTGTTTCTTCTTAAAAGTTAGAGGTTCAATCCCCTATCTCCACATTTGTTGTACTACAAAAAGGTGTATAAAGTATATTAGCCACATTAAATATATCAATGATATACTTTATTTCAGGTATATTACTTATAGTGAATTTTTGCCATTTTTAAATGTACGTCATGAAATTTTCTTTTCTTTTCTTTTGACCAGGCCTCACCTTTTATTATATCGCCAATAAAAAAGTTGTTATATTTACCATTAATTATTAATTTTTTGATATATTTAAGCGTGTTTCACAATCTTACCCCAACATTTGATTTATTTGCTCGGATTTAATTAAATTTGAGTCGGTGTAATTTGACGTTGAAATTTATGAATGTATGGAGCATGCATTTGTACGAAAACCAAATTGATAACTAAAGTTACAAAAATATTTTCTTTAGGGTGGAGGTTGAATTTTTAACTTTATAGAAAGTAAATAGTGTTTTATCCAATAAACTATGTTCGAATCGGCAAAAATGATTATGCTTAATATGTGTATTTGTGATTTGAAAAATGTTAAAGTAGTACATATAATCTTACTGGATTCCAAAAAAAAAAAAAAAAATTGAGTGCTTATGGTAAAAACACTTTTTGGAATGTAAAATCATTAATCAAACAAGTTGTGATTTTTTTAAAAAAATTGTAATTAGTCAAAAGCCATTGTAGGATATTAGAGAAAGATATAATTTTCATAAATTCGTTTATTGCCTATATAATTAAATTTTATGAAAAATGTAAAAGAATGTTTTTAATTTCTTTTTCGACAGAAAAATGTTTTTAATTAGTTAAACTACTTTTCAACTCTCTAAGATCAGAAGACAGCAAGGTTTTAAATGTCCATGTCGATGAAAATGTTGAGATCTCAATTTCATGGAAATATTGATAAAATATCGATATTGATAGATATTTCTGTAAAATCGTAAAAAATATTTAAATTAACAAATAAACATTTTTCTATTTAGTTAAAAATAATTAATCATATATATATTAGTGATATTTTGTTGATATTTTTCATATTTGGTCGATTTTCTTGTACTAGGATAGAAATGTCGATTTACCCCTTATGTCGATGTCGAAAACATAGATATGTCGATGAAAATGTCGACGTGTCGTCGCATATTTAAACCATGGAAGGCAAGGACGAGTTGTCGTATAGTCTTGTTGGCTTTCACGTGGCTATGCTTCCATGCCCCTTGTACACCACATGAATTCAAGCCATGTATTACCACAATTTTCTTTCGATTGAAATTGCAGTCAATTACTTCAGCAGATATCTTCACCAATTAATTCCTGGCTTTTTTTGAAACACCGATCGTAGTTCCTGATGCAGCCACCATAGTTCTGATACTACAGCCATTGAATCACAGTTGAATCCCTACATTATTCACCATTCTACTGCTACTACCACGGTATTGGTTAACCAGCAACTAATTGGAGCAAGCAATTTCAATTCATGGTGTAAATCGATGCTCATTGCACTTTCTGGTAAGGATAAAGTTGGTTTCGCTGATGACACTATTAAGAAACCTGAAGGAAATCTTCTCACCGCTGTCTTGAAAGAAAATAGCAGCAAGCATCGTTTATATTAGTTCAATAAAAGAGATATATATGGAATGAACTAAAGGAACGATTTCAACTTCTTAAGGAATTGGTCACCACAGGAACAAAGATCTTTGTCAATTGAAGCTTATTACACTAAACTGAAAACTATTTGGCAAGAACTTGTTGAATATCACCCATCAATTGACTGTAAATGCAATGGATCGAAATCTCTCCTGGAATATCTTGAATTCCAATTAGTATTCTCAACTTATGGATATGCTTCACTCTCATCTCAAAGGCTACCAAACCCGATAATTCGACGCCTCCAACTTTTCATATTGCAGGTACTTGTTTCTCAGCTTACTCTAATATTACTCACAATGAATCTTGGATAATTGATTTGGGTGCATCTAGCCACATTTGTCATCAACGATCTCTTTTTATGGATCTACAACCGGTTTCTAATATTAGTGTTGTTTGGATTCCTGTTGAATTCATTAGAAATATCCGGTTATTAGATATAATCTTCTCTCTGTGAGTGCCCCACTTCAACATGGTTGTTTTTCAGTTGAATTTTTTGGTGTCCTTGTATTATTCAAGACAAGTCACTATCGAAGATAATTGACTCAACCTGAGCTTTATAGACTTCCATTACCTTTGCATTTTAATATTGGTAATAAGGAGATGTTCCCGCCCTTACTTGTCAAACTACAGCTGATACATGGAACAAACGACTTGGACGTCTCTCTCCTGCTCGTCGTGCCTCATTAAAACATCCACTGCATCTTTCTCATACATGTAATTCTACTGTTTTTCATATTTGTTCGTTGGCTAAACAATGTCGACTTTCATTTCCTGCTCATAATCATGTATCTGATTCTGGTGTTAACTTGATACATTGTGATATTGAGGGTCCTTTAACATGGCTATAAATATTTTTTAACATTGGTTGATGATTGCTCTCGTTTTACTTGGATCTATCTCATTGCTTATTATACTTTCTTGATTAATAGTTATATTTCCCATGGACACATTTTAAGTTATTTTTATGTTGTTACTTTGCAAAATATGTTGCTTTCGTTAAGTTTCTACTTTTTAAAGTTTTTATTTTTATTTAATGATGCATGCAGTTTCTTAAATGTATATATTTAATAAGTAAATTTTAATTATGATATTTCAATGAGACAAATTAATTATTTAAAAATAAAGTTGCGAACAAAAAGAATATACCAAAATAGTAACCAATAAAATCTAATTACAATGATTAAATGTGACAAGAAAATTATTTAATTATTTGAAAATAAAATAGATAAACATTCCTCTTATTTTATAGATATAAGAATGAAAGTAGAGAAGTAGATATAAAATTAAAATTTATTCTAAAAAGTACAAATTTTAATGGTTCGAAGGAAGAGAATAAAGTGAAACAAGAGTGAGAAAGAAAAGAAAGCGAATGAAAAATTAAAAAAAAAAAAAGATGAAAAATTAAGGTAAATAAGAAATGACAAATAATACGTGCACTCCACTTGGAAAAATATATAATTTTTTATTTGTACGTAAAATAGGAAATTTTCCCTTCATTTTATTTACTTAGCAGTGCCAGTGACGAGTCCATTTTTATCCATTAGAATATTAAATGCGTATCTTGTGTTCCTCACTTCACAGAAGAAGCTCAGAGCGTACCTGACACAGAGAAGAAACTGTTTTCCATTTCAATGGCGGAGAAAGACGACCGTACTCCTCATATTCTGGTAGTTCCTTACCCGGCGCAGGGCCACATCAATCCCATGCTTCAATTCTCCAAGCGCCTTCACAGAAGTGGAGCCAAAATCAGCATCGTCACCACCAATTTCATCGCCGGCACCATTCATCGCTCCTCCGATCCCCCTCCTCCGTTCCCCATCCTCACCATCTCCGACGGCCACGACGACGCCGGTTACGCCGCCGCGGAGACTATCCAGATCTACCTCGACTCCCTCCGCCGATTCGGATCCCAAACCCTAAGGCAGCTTCTTCGCCGCCTTTCCTCTTCCGCCTCCCC